TATAAAGTTTAAAAAATAAGACTAGAATGCGCGAGTGTGAATTAATCAAACGTCCTTTTATTAAATTTCTAAAACTTCCTTTCCGACAAATAAAATGAACTGAATATAAAAAAGTGAAAGAAAAAATAGCGAAAAATTCAACTTCTTATTAAATCTTTTATTATGGTTTAGAATAAACTATTCTCGAAACTTCCAGTCCAGTCCAGTCACTGCCAATATTTTCAGGTCAGGTGCATGTTCTTTGCATAAGGAACTTTGTCACTTGGGCCTGATTTATCCCAAATGGGTAAGTGACGTTTACTGAAAATTCGAGGACTTCGAGAAGTGAGATTCTCTGATATCTCAGGTCACCGGGTATTCGGATCTGTATCTTACGCCAGTGTTTGTTTACAATTGGTGATAACAGAGATTACGAGTAAATGAACTTTCCAAAGTTTGGCTCAGAAAGTTTAGTCAAACTTATTTTCTTGTCAAGGGCTGCTGCAGTCTGAATTCGAATAATATGTCGCAATAGAAACCAAACACTGAGTTTTCCTGGTTGAGAAAGTGTCAATCAACCAAGTAAGACAACAGCGAGCAAAAAGGAGGTAAAATGAAGAAACCTCTCAAATCAGACGTATACTTTTTTCGTCTAGCGCGCTCGCTTTTGGCCAAAAAGGCTTTTAGTATGACATACAGGAAGAATGGTTTCTTCAAAAGGACCCTTTCACACCGGCTAAATATATATACCCTGATGCTATAACATTCTGAAATATGGTAAAATTCACTGTATTAACAAAGCACGAACGAAACATTACTTTCTTTGCGCGGGTGTTAAAATAGAAAGAAAGCCTAGATAAGATAAAGTATAGCTTGAAAGTAACTTTAAAAAATGTGCAACAAACTTTGTAAAGATGAACTATAGATTATATTAGCTTTCGTTTTCTCTTACGAGCGTTTTGAAATGCCGTAATTTGCATAATTTGCTTCAGACCTTCGACCAGGTTTTAGCCGATTTTAAACATTCCTGTTTTTTCGCAAAAACGGAGCTTCGCTGGATCTTTTGAATATTGTTTTGAAAATATGTTTACCAAAGGGTTTTTTTTGGTGAGATAAAAAAAAAAATCGAATTTTCTGATCTGGGGCCGGATTCTCGATATTTACTGAGAACGGTTCTTAAATTTCTGCGTTCGCGTGTTATTGAAAAGCGCTATCTTCGAGAAACTTAACCTCATTAATTTATGCAAGTATCTCTCACAGATTACGACAATTCGTTTTCAACAATTTTGTTTTATTTTTTTGTTTGTTTGACAGGAACTGACACAACTGCATTTGCAGGATTTCGCGCCTGCAAATGTTTGACAGATCATTACCGAACGAATTTGTTTGGGGCTTGTAAGCCATGCGAGCTAGGATTAGAATGTCAAGATGAGTCAGTAAATCTTAAAGATGGCTTTTGGTGGAAATGGGAAAGTAAGACACACCGTGAGCTGTACAGAAACTTCACCAAATACGTAAAGGACTTCTCATTTACTCCTAAATTACACAAGGCGAATGATTCCCGTATTGAATACCCGTACACCATTCCTCAACCGTACAGATACCCCATCACAGAAGCTTGTAAAGGAGGTTTGAATTCTTCATGTGAGGCTGGTTATGAAGGACCATTATGTGCAGTTTGCAGTGATGGATATTATAAACAACTGAAGAAATGCAAACTGTGCCCAACTAAAGGATGGATGATCGGACAGCTTGCAATTATGGGGGCAATAATTATTTTACTGGTTATTCTGGTGGTTTGGAGAAGCAAGAAAAAGAGCAAAAACGATACTGGACGATCTTTCCTTGATGAGGTCCTTGGAAAGCTTAAAGTTATAATTGGCTTTTATCAGGTGACGTCTGGTATCTTAGAGGCCTTTTCATACATAAAATGGCCTAGAAGTCTTTCTTTTATTGGAGAATATTCCGAAATTGCCCAAGGAACATTCTTCAGATAGCTCCCCACTGCGTCCTTCCAAGCTTGGAACTTGATGCATTCGGAAGTTTGTTCGCAGCTATGGGATTGAACATTGCAGCAGTCATCGTCGCCCTTGTTAGCCTTGCCCTTGCCACTTGGACATCGACACGACATATTCTGAATGAAGAGGAAGAATGAAGAAAAAAGGAGCATATTAAAGCGGTCGTAATGAGAAATCTGTTTTTCTTTCTTTTCGTGACCTATCTGAACACTTGCGTAAAAACAGCTCAAGTTTTGCCTCTTGCCTGCCACAAGATCTGCGTTAACAAAAAAGGTGAAAGCTGCGAGGAGTATTTAAAGGCCGATCACAGCATTAACTGTAATGGGGAGAGATACAGCCGATTAGTCTTCGCAGGATACTGTTCCATTGTGTATGTGATTGCCCTGCCTGGTGCTGCTCTTATAGCAATTTGGAAACGACAGAGAGGTGAAAAGAAAAATGAAACAAACGACACGAATGGTCCCGGAGATCAAAGCACCGTGCAAACCGGACTTCGTTTCTTACACGAAAACTACAAGCCTCATTGTTGGTATTGGGAACTGGTGGAGACAGTTCGAAAGGTAATTTTGACCTCTGGATTGATCCTTGTGGGTGGTGAAAGCAGACTTTACATTGGATTGGCTTTGGTTTTCTCTGGTTTGTATGGGATGTATTTCGCGCTGAACTCGCCAATAACTGATCCATTCGAAAACGAGCTTATGCTTTCTTCACTTGCCGTTACCTTCGTAAACCTTGCAATAGGAGCCGTCAGCAGAATCCCGGATGATGGTTTTTCGTCACCAGTCGACCCAATCTTGGATAGCTTGTTGTTCAATGGCTTGGTCATTGTTGCCAACTCCTTGGTCATTGGACTACTTGTCGGTAAGTAAGGATAATACAAAGTATTTGTCTGTCAAAACATCCTGCTACATGTTACAGGCTTAACCCGGGCTAAATACCTCCATGGAATTCCATGGAATTTCGTGGAACTCCATGAATTTCCGTGGATCTCTATGGAGTTCTCCATGAATCTCCATGGAATTCCATGGAATATCCATGGAGTGTCCTTTGAGTTCCATAGAATTCCATGCGTTTTGTATGGGAATCAATAGAAATTCATTAATAAAGCAACTAATTAACTGGTTAACTGCATGTTCAAGTCTAAACTTTTTACTGGACAGAAAAATAGAAAACAGGGCAGGTTTTTAAAAGCAAAATAATGCCTACGTTTAAATTATCCAAACATCGTCACTTGTTCTTGTTCACCGTTCATGCTGAAACTGAGCGTAATAAATGTTTTTGCGGGCGACAAGAGGAGCCCGCAATCCTAGTCTCCAGGTTGTTATTACGCATGAGCCGCTTGTAAGTAGCCAGCATTCGTTTGGACGTCCACTAAGAACGAATGGAATGCACAAAACGCAATTTGATCACGTGCGTTTCGACCTTCTACCCTCGTAATCTGATCACGCGTGTTTTGACCATCTGTCACGTGAAACTTACGCAAAGCACAGCATTGAAGCAAAAGCGTTTGGACCTCGGATCGTTGTCTCCTGCACTCCCTAACCTATGGTTATTACTAGTTCCTAACTATTAAGGAAAAAAGGTTTTTGTGTGCTTAATAAAAAATGATCCTGTGTAAATAATAAAATATAAGTATACAAAATTGTTTCTAGTGAGAGTGTCTGCCAACAATCTAGCAAAATCAGTGTTGCATTTATAGAGAGGATCTATTTTTTATAACAACATGCAGCCGCTTCAATATAATAAATAACTATGAGTGATCCCACGAGGCACGAGGCTATCGATGTACAAAGTGTCTTGAGGTTGAGAGTTGAGACTCCAGTCCAACCTGAATGATGACCGAGAGCACCCTGCATCTGCTTTGCATGGAGTTATTCGAGCTACATTTTTAGTCACATCTGTGAATATGTGCGCCTATTTTCAAAGGCTCCCTCACTTAGAAGAACAATGACATATTTTTCTCTCGCTGATGTACTCTTCAAGAGCGTCGGAATGGTGTAGTTAACTCTGAAAGGGATCACATCTTAACGCTTTTAAAGACAGACAAATTGAGGTATTCTTCACAGAATTCCTGATCTGAGTATAAAAGGCTGTTCAGCAAGCAAAAACATTTGCGAACTATGAAATTCCAAGCAAAATCAATACTGTTGAAAATTACTCTCAGCATCTGTCATTTGCTCATATTAAACTCAATCATGTTTTTTTTTTTCAAAGTAGTCACTAAAAAGCCTGGATTTCGACAAGAGTGATTTTACTTTTGAGTTTTCCTTATAAGCAGATAAAACTACATTTTTTTACATAATTTACTGGTTGAAATAGATAAAGAACAGCTAAGCAGAGGTCTCGATGTTTTGGTTTAACAAAACAGCTTGCCTCTATACTAAAATGCTTAACTCGGATGGCTCTTCAAAGTGACCAACTGTATAGATTTCTATCTCATGGTTAGCACAATCAAGGTCGTTACTAACTTTACAACGTAAATTATACACATCAACTACAATGAACATTAAAATATCGAGAATCTCACTTCACCTGACTGATCACCATCTAGTTTGATTTAATCTGCTGCTTTTTTGCGCTTTACTTTGCATTTTGAAGATAGGTCTTCGATTGCAGGGTTGTAAGTTCACCTTATTTTCCGTAAGATCGTCGAGAACGAATAGTTTATGGGCGGCCATAGCTTGCTTTCAAATGTACCGAGCCTAGCGTAGCTAAAGGGAGGAGTCAAACTATATTTAGGGGTGGGGACGCGACGCCCACCCCTCGTAACGGTAAGCTCTCGACCTCAAGGAAAAAATAGTGAGCTATAGGGCCATTATTTTCTTACTTTGTTTGATCAGCATCACAAGGCCTTGCACATGTACAGTTTCTGCATGATTTTGCTGATCACGATCTATTTTGGTCAAACGTCAAGATTTTTGTTATTTCATGACATCCCTGCTCCTCGGAACGGCTAAACTTCTTAGTCTCAACCATTTTTTTTCTGCTAATATTCTTAATGACCATTTCTCTTCTGCGGGAAATAGGCTAGCTAGCACAATTCCAACGCCACAACAACATCTTAATTACGTTAGTCATTGCAAAGAACCGACTTCATCTTTCTATCCTTACCGGTAACGTCCGACGAAGTGAAATTTCAAATACTCTCCATACCAAACAACAAGTCTTATGGTCTTTAGTAAAATCCAGCTAGTGGTCTGTATCAATGCTGCGTTCTGATTGGATAAGCTACTACTAGGCTATATGTTATAGCCTACTAGTAGCGAAGAGCGCCGGATTTTTGGCGGCAAAAAGGGACTTACGTCTAGCTTTAACCAGCTATAAGTTGTTTTGTATCGATATTTTTGAGCAACTAGTTGAATTTTACTAAAAAAATTATTCCTCTCGCGCCTCTGAGTCAATAGCCCATTCGGCCTTCGGCCTCATGGGCTATTGACTTAGAGCCCATTCGAGATCGAGGAATAATTGTTAAGTATTTACCTCCCATAAAATTATTAAAGTGTGCAAGTAGTATTATAGCTCCTATTCAATCGGAAATATCGAATATCTCCGTAACATTACGAAAATAATGATGCGAATAAACTACAGACCTATATTCTTATCTAACTTTAACAGAATTTTTGAAAAGATCATGTACAACAGAATGAAAGATTATATTGACAAACATAAATATATGTTATTCACCGGGTGGCAGGTCCATTTTCTTTGGGAGAAACTGTGCCCGAGGCCGTAGGCCGAGGGCAGTATTTCAGACCGAGGGCACAGTTTCTCCCAATACGGACCGACCTTTAATTTTTTTTTCCTACTGAGATTTGAAAGTTTCTGGAAAATTTTCCTTCACTCTCCAACCTATTTGTGTTGAAGTAGGACGCGTTTGTGTTGATGAAGCGCGCGGTCGATTGCAAACCAAAACAAAACATTACAACATGACTTTTAGCTCGGTAATTTATTTTAAGGCACTTACTGCTCTTTTAAAATAAGGAAAGGTTTTTTTGTCTTGCTAGACAACTCATAATCTGAGTGTCAAACAAGAATAAAAGAATTGACAAGCTTGATATTAAAAGCCCCAGGGTGAAAAATACAGCAAGGGTTATCTTCGGCCGAATAATTCAAAAATTGCTTTAAGATTATCAATTGAGCGGGATCAAAACTGTACAAAAGAGCCAATTACACATACCAGTTTTAAGGTTTTGAATTGAATTCGAATAAAAGAAGGCGATTTGAGTAACAAGTGATAAACAAGGAAATGATAACGGCGATAACCGACTGCTGGAAAAGTGATTCGTGTTGTTTATATAAGATTGGAAGCTAACACCAATCATTGAAAATGGAAAACAGAACTACAAAAATATAAGAGCAAAAATGTCCAATAAACGGTGCATAAAAGCAAGAGTGCGGTACTTACAGCGCGGTTATAAAGATAGTGAAGCGACATCATGAGCCACCTGTTTTGCTTTACTTTAGCTGCTTTCCTGGCTGACTTGCTTGATTATCCCTTCAGATTTTCTGTCTGAATAATAAAATTCACTTTTCCCTAGTTAATTCTAATAATAGCGCAAGTTTTGAAAGAAAAATGGTTTGAAAATGACGGTTTTTGCTCATTCACAAACAACAAACAATCTTGTGAATGAAGCTGCCAATGATTCCGCCCGGGTTAGCGGGCACGATCGTAAAATACCGTCCACTCTCGAAACCAATCACATCGCAGGATTTAGAGGATTCCGCCCGCTCGCAAGCTTGGGAGAAAATAATTTTTGTATTCCTCCCAGTATGGCTTTCGTAAAGGTCACTCGACTAGAGATTGTAAACGCAATACAAACTAATATCAATCAAGGTCTTTTCTCGTGTAGAGTCTTCATAGACCTCAAGAAAGCTTTTGATACTGTCGATCATAATATTTTGCTCGACAAACTTAATCACTATGGTTTTCGTGGAATTATTAAAGACTGGTTCTCCTCGTATTTGAATAATCGTATGCAATCTACCCAAATCGGACCATACATTTCAAACAAAGCTAACGTAAGCTGTGGTATTCCCCAAGAATCTGTCCTTGGCCCGTTGCTTTTTTTATTGTAGGTTAATGACATACATTAATGCTCGAATAAACTTAAGTTTTATCTCTTCGCAGATGATACTAATATCCTTTATGCTGATAAAAACTTAAAGTCCTTAGAAAATATGGTAAATATTGAATTACGAAACCTCCACGAATGGTTAACATCCAATAAGTTAACTCTCAATACTACGAAAGGTAACTTTGTAATCTTTCACCCTTATCACAAAAGAGTCACTTACCAACCGAGCCTCTACATGTTCGATAACGAGAAAAATGGAAATGTAACTTTAGAGTCCAAAAATTATATTAAATATGTTGGTGTGTTGGTTGATAAAAACCTTACTTGGAAATATCACATTGACGACATTACGGCAAAAATCAGTAAAACTATTGGACCAATTTCAAAACGTCGGCACTCCATACCTCGTCATATACTGTTATATATTTACCAAACATTAATCCATCTTCACCTAAACTATGGTATTGCTGCCTGGGGTGGGGCATCCAAGACTTCCCTCAATAAAATTCTAATTCTCCAGAAGAAAGTGCTCCGCATGATGTATTTTACGTATATACGTGAACACGCAATTCCTCTATTTATTCGACGCTGACATATTACCAGTGTCATTTATGTATTATAAAACTGTGGCTAGTCTAATGCACGATATTAACAGCAACAATTCGCCAACAAACCTCTTCATTTCATTTGAAAAAAACCTCAACAATTCATTCATACCATACAAGATCATCTACTTCAGGTAACTTTCACGTTAAAAGCTCAAAGCTGGAAATACACAAAAACTCCTTGTCTCGTTTTGGTGTGAAACTTTGGAATGAGATACCTTGTCATATTAGAGATCTTCCTAAAAAGAAATTTTCGAAAGTGCTTCACAGATTGCTTTGCGACATCTTCAAAAGAGAACATGACTATATTGAGACGTCATTAAAAGTTGAAAAAGTTCGATTAACAGTTAAGTGAATTCTGTACAAAAGTATTTGTTTTTTTCGCACTCCGTCAATTCCTTTTTCGTCTTTCCTTAGTAGATTTAGTGTAATTAAAATAAAACTATGATAGAAATATTATTTATTGTAACAGTTAAGTGATTTCTGTACAAAAGTATTTGTTTTTTTCGCACTCCGTCAATTCCTTTTTCGTCTCTCCTTAGTAGATTTAATGTAATTATAATAGAATTATGCTAGAAATATTGTTTATTGTAACAGTTAAGTGATTTCTGTACAAAAGTATTTGTTTTTTTTCGCACTCCGTCAATTCCTTTTTCGTCTCTCCTTAGTAGATTTAATGTAATTATAATAGAATTATGATAGAAATATTGTTTATTGTAACAGTTAAGTGATTTCTGTACAAAAGTATTTGTTTTTTCGCACTCCGTCAATGCCTTTTTCGTCTCTTCTTAGTAGATTTAATGTAATTATAATAGAATTATGCTAGAAATATTGTTTATTGTAACAGTTAAGTGATTTCTGTACAAAAGTATTTGTTTTTTTTTTCGCACTCCGTCAATTCCTTTTTCGTCTCTCCTTAGTAGATTTAATGTAATTATAATAAAACTATGATAGAAATATTATTTATTGTAACTTAAAATAGTTTCCTTCCTTTCCTTTCACTTTATTTTTCCTTTAACTGGTCCACCTGATTAGCAATGGTTATTTCGCGTGCCAGCCTGTTGTAATCAATATTTTTATTAAAGAAAGTTAAAGTTCAAGGTGAACTTGCCATTAATATACCAAGTAATGTGCGCAACCCGTTTTATTTCGACTGAGTGTAAGACTGACTACTTGTTTTGCAGACAAATTCGGAATCTGAAAAGACAGTAAGGTGGTAATACTGTGATCCAAAGTCCACGCTCGTCCGAGTACAGCAAGGTCCTTCCTCTCTGCGCAAAGTGTATTTGAAAATAAATTGAATCAAGAGAGGATAAAAAGGACAGAGAAGGCATCCCCCATACACACCCTGTTCCATAGTTAATTCGTCTCGAGTTATTTTTAGAATTGGAATAAAGTTACCTCGGGCGCTGCGTGGATGTTTCGTGGAGGTTTCGCATGACTAAACGCCGTGCAAAAGATGTCGGGCGAAAGGCAATGAAAGCGTAAAGAGATCGAGAGCATTCCTGAATATTGAAGTGAAATGAATCGGCGCTCGCCTGGGAAAAGGGAATCGCTGGACTCTTTGTTCTCTTTGACAACCCGTGAAATCAGTTTAACTCGAAGTTGTCGTACCCTCAGTGCTTTAATAAAATGAGAAATTTCGCCGGTCTATTGAAACCCGGTCGTTTGTATAATAAAGCAAGTAGGACGCCAAGTGTTATTTTTGTTGAATAATAAAAGACAAATAAAAGAATAAATATCAAACCAGAAACTGCTCTCTTCAAACTGTAAATTATAAATGATCCTGAGAGAATATTCAGTGTGTTAAGGATTTCCCTGCTGTACTGTTAGCTCTATACAAGAGAGGAAGGGCGATTCTTTTTTAATTTCCGTTTCGCTGGCACAACTTTAGCAGAAATCTCTCTTTAGTCGTTTCGTCGACAAAACAAATAGCAATATCACTGTCCGCGTCTTCAGCCATTTTTTTCTGCGTCAATTCGTGAAGGACGCGTGGCTCTGAGCGTGGGTCATCCACGTGGAACACGTTCGCGCTATGTGATTGGCTGTTGTCTAATCTCCCTTGGGATCTATGGTCTTAAAAATAAGTCGAGACGAATTACCTGTGGAATAGGGTGTGTATGGGGGATGCCTTCTCTGTCCCCTTTATCCTCTCTTGAATTAAATCTATGATGGCCTCGTTTTAATTTGCATGAATATATAATTTGTTTCAGTGCAATATGTTGCGTACATTTACCACAAAGTAAAAGAATGGCGCAAGAATCCAAAGTGGTCATTTTCATGCTGCCTGGCCTTGCTATTACCCCTAAGTGATTTACAAGGAGAAATAGTGGGATTAACTGAGAGGAATATATTGACACAGCAACTTCAAAGTGGCGGAATCGAAATGCCAACGATTGCTAATGCTTTAAAGGAAAGCGGGGCAGTGGAGATAACTCTTGAAGATTATGATGTAGAACGCAAAGAAGAAGAAGAAGAGACTGCAAATAAATTCAGCGTTGCTCAAGGCCTCCTTTCACTAGCACAAGTAGGCATCCATAAGCTGCAACGGGGGACACAAGACACCAAACTGGAAGATCATGATTCGGAAAGCGAAGAAGAAGAAGACACTACAAACGCGGAGAAAAGCGTTGCTCAAGGCCTCCTTTCACTCGCAGAAGTAGTCATCCACAAGCCGCCAAGGGGGACACAAGACACCAAACTGGAAGATCATGATTCGGAAAGCGAAGAAGAAGAAGACACTACAAACGCGGAGAAAAGCGTTGCTCAAGGCCTCCTTTCACTCGCAGAAGTAGTCATCCACAAGCCGCCAAGGGGGACACAAGACACCAAACTGGAAGATCATGATTCGGAAAGCGAAGAAGAAGAAGACACTACAAACGCGGAGAAAAGCGTTGCTCAAGGCCTCCTTTCACTCACAGAAGTAGTCATCCACAAGCCGCCAAGGGGGACACAAGACACCAAACTGGAAGATCATGATTCGGAAAGCGAAGAAGAAGAAGACACTACAAACGCGGAGAAAAGCGTTGCTCAAGGCCTCCTTTCACTCGCAGAAGTAGTCATCCACAAGCCGCCAAGGGGGACACAAGACACCAAACTGGAAGATCATGATTCGGAAAGCGAAGAAGAAGAAGACACTACAAACGCGGAGAAAAGCGTTGCTCAAGGCCTCCTTTCACTAGCACAAGTAGGCATCCACAAGCTGCCAAGGGGGACACAAGACACCAAACTCTAAGTAAATTAACAGTCTTAGGAAAGTTCAGGTGATGTAGGGTGACACGTAATTTAATTGCAGCCTGTGTCGACGTGAAAAATGAACAGATTATTATTATTATTATTATTATTATTATTATTATTGTCATTATTTCCACTCCATTTGCCTTCGCTTAAGAGAGATAAGAAAGTAACTAGCATTAACTTATAGTATAAAGTAACGTAGCATGCATAACACTTTAAAATCATGCGTTTGAGTGGGTTCATTTTCTGCGTTTTATTAGTAGCAGTATTTACTCTTACTGACAGCCACCTGTTGTCACTAACAACTTGTCAAAGTTTTCGAATGCAAGCAACATAAAGGACACTAGCTACATGCGTATTGGTACGCGATGCTAAACTGACGGATTTATGGAATCTAATATAAAACGATTTAGGACAAGACTAATTTTAGACTCAGTAATAAATTAGGTAGCGTAGCTTAGGCTTGAGACTTACACAATCAAGTGGTCTTGCACCACAGAACAGCACTCGATACACCTGAAAGACGTATCACAATGGTGCTAGCACTATACTATGTTGGAAATTAAGCCTCGTTGGTGCCTTCCACTGCCTTCCGTATGCCTTCCCTTTCTTAGTATGTATAAGTGTCATCCTGCATCCTAATTTAGTGCCTTCTTGCATATTAATCATATGTCTAGTCATTGTCTAGCTAGCTGGGTAAAAATGCGTTCCTCCATACTAATTATGTGCCTTCCTCCATATATAATTAAGTGGATAGTCGTTTCTTTTCATATGGAAGAACACAATAGGAACAATAGGCTTCCCTAGCTTGCCCGGTAACTAACTTGAGCCCAGTTTTCGGACCCTGTATTTAAAAAAATAGGAATAAGAGGAGCGATCACCTAGCAACGCGAGAAACGGCTTATGTCTTCTATTAAGCGCTAAAAAATCGGATATATAAACAAAATCATACACAAAGTGGTGATGAAAACTCTTTATTTCAATTTAGCTCATGTCTCATGTCTTCTTATTTAGCGCTAAAACTCGGATATATAAACAAAACACAAACACGCACAAAGTGGAGCTGAAAACTCTTTACTTGAAGTTTGTTTGACTATTACAAAAACCCTTTTCTCCTTTCTATCTCAAGGAAACGACTAACTATTGAGGTCTCAGCGTTTCACGCACCGTTAGTCAGTTATTTATGCGACTTAACAAGCCCACCGTTGAATACAAAGTCGTTCAGCTCTGTAGTATTATTATAGAAATACACACAAAAGAAAACAATTAATAACTTAACAAGGATCAATTAAAACACGCAACTAATCAATAAATACTCGTAATAAAACCAGACACGTTTCTTAAGACACAAGAACTCAATTTTATGACCCTTTATTAAAATAATAGCAAAAAAATAGATTAAATATTCTATTAAAATAGTCAAAGAAGGCAAGCTATCGTTTTTTTAACACTGCGCACAATGTTTTACTTACCCCTCTCCATTTCCCTTTTTATTTTTCTTCTCTTCCACCATTTTATTAGTTTCGTTTTTATTCCCTCCTCCACAATTTTGATCTTTTCCCGCCTATTCCTCATTCATGATTTCCCTCCCCCACAAGTTTTATTATTTCCCCTCCTCAGTCTTGATTTCCCTCCTCCTCCACCTCCTCATTTTATTCTATATATTTTTCTATCCACAAATACATCGACCTCGCATCGACCCTACATCGACCCCATCGACTTTTTTTCAACACTGCTTCGTGAATAGTAAAACAATATACAACCACCTCCACATTTCTTTTTCCCACCACCACCACCATTACATTTCTATTGTTTCCCTCTGCCGTTTCACTATTCCCGAAGCAGTGTTGAAAAAAAGTTGAGTCTAGGGTAGATGTAGGGTCGATATGAAGTCCGTGTATTTGAGAATGGAAAAACATATAGAATAAATGAGGAGGTGGAGGAGAAGGAAAATCAAGATTGTAAAGGGAAAATAATAAAAATTGTGGAGGAGGGAAAACAAAAATGAGGAGGAGGTGGGTAAAGATCAAAATTGAGGAAAAGGAGGGAATTCAAGAATGGGGGGGATAATAAAACTGTAGGGGGGGGAATAAAAGAAGAAAAAAAATTGAGGAGGGAAAATAATAAAATTGTGGAAGAGGAGAAAAATAAAAATGGAAAGAGAGAGGGGTGAGTAAAACATTGCGCGCAGTGTAAAAAAAATCGATAGCTTGCCATTTTTGACTATTTTAATAGAATCTTTAATCTAATCTTTTGCAGTTTTCAGCTCCACTTTGTGTATGTGTGTGTGTTTTGTTTATATATCCGAGTTTCAGTGCTAAATAAGAAGACATAAAGCTAAATTGAAATAAAGAGTTTCATCACCTCTTTGTGTATGTATTTTTATATATATCCGACTTTTTAGCGCTAAATAGAAGACTTAAGCCGTTTCTCGCGTTGCTAGGTGATCGCTCCTCTTATTCCTATTTTTTTTCAAATAAACGGTCCGAAAACCGGGCTCAAGTTCCTTACCAGTCTAGGCAAGACTACGCGAGCCTATAGTTTCTATTGAGTTCTTCCATATGAAAAGAAACGACTATCCACTTAATTATATATGGAGGAAGGCACATAACTAGTATGGAGGAACGCATTTTTACATAGCTAGCTAGACACTGACTAGACACATAATTAATATGCAGGAAGGCACTAAATTAGTATGCAGGAAGACACTTATACATACTAAGAAAGGGACGGAATACGGAAGGCAGGGGAAGGCACCAACGGGGCTTACTTTCCAACATAGTATAGTACTAGTGTTAGAACGTACAGCGTAAAGGCGGATTTACTTTTGTTTTGCACTGTGCGCCGGTGACAATGATTGTTCGCCAATTTGTAGCATTTAATCGTCATCTGGTTCCTTTAAGAATTCAAGGTAAATTTCTATTTGATACCTTCTTAACTGAAGTTCTAACGAGGTCAAATTTCGAGAGCATTTTTATTCCATATTTTATTTTTTTTCTTAAAATCATTAGTTTCCTTTGATCAAAATGTTTTGCGTTCGAACAAAGTTATTTTGCAAATGACATCTGCAGTTGAGTTTTCTTTAAAAGCGATGCTTTGAATTTAAGAAGTTAGGAGGTTAACAGCGAACAGACAAAAATGCAACCTTAGCTTTGAAATACTTCTCTTGTTTGACCAGGTTGTTAGTTTTGGCAGAATACATATTGAGATAGTTTGGAATTAACTAGCTCATCTGACCTATATTATTTACCTTACCTCCACTGAAGAAATTCGCGCGTTACAACTAAACACTACCGACTTGAATGATATACGAGTCATGTATGTAGCACATTTAGCTGATTCATTAAAGGTTGCTTTGGGCATTGGGAATTGCGCATTGGGAAGCTATTGTTTGGTGGTCACTCAAGTAAAAATTGAATTGTTCCATATGCCTAAATGCCCAATGTCTAATGACTAATGAACAATTACCAAAGCAACCTTTTTTTGATTGAGCTGTATACCATTGAATCCACCCAAACCACCGACATTACCATTTTACAAGAGAGTTAACGGTTTCAAATGAATCACTTGATTCAATACTATCTTCGGATAGAGACACTTTATTGGCGCCTTTCGTTTAGAACGTTTCAAACCAAATCATGACACCGGATTCAACGTTTATAGGACCGATAATAAACCCTTGATGTATTCAGTTCATTTTTCCAGTTTCCTTTTCTCTAGCAGTGGCATCACTTAAACTGGATATTTGACTGAAAGAATGATTCTGCTTTCAGAAGAAAACAGGGAAGTTTTTTTCCATAGGAAAATCCGTTTTCGACGCGGGAAATGTTACTGACAGTACTTTTTTTCGATTTAAGGCATTTTAACGGGACAAATAGCCTCAGGAACCATTTCAGTCAAAAATTAAAACAGAAAAGAAAACACACTAGGAGCGGTGGAAGACTGAAATGTTGAAATACGCAAAAAAAACGTATTTATGACCAGTAACTATAAGTTGTTTATACATATTAATCACAAACACCCGTTGTAGCGTTGTAGCCTTGAGTGCTGTAATTAAATTTATGGTTGTCGAAGTTTTTAGCGACGAAGGACCCCCAAATAATCGAGTTTGCAAGGAAACAGTTTAGTTTAAAAAACGGGTAAACCAAATGTTACTTATTCTTATTCACGCCGGGACGGATTTAATAATTACTTAATCTGCAATATTATACATTTCATTGCATCATCAATTCAAGTGCTTAGTTGGATTAGGGTACGGTTATGATTTATAAAAAAAAAAACATTTAACTGGCTTTGGGAAAAAACTGAAAATACTGTGGTACTGTTTCGAGGCAT